TGAAGTTAGCTTTTCCAACTTTTATTTTGTTACATTTTTGTGACAGTTAAGTGCCAAGTAGATTTTTGTTTGAGGATTATACCTGAGAACAAACGTAGTGAAATATTGTAGCAGGGAAATCTATGTAAAATGTGACAATGGGAATAGCATCAGTTCCACTGTCTAAAGGGAAAAAAGTAACAACTACTGAATGATGATAACAAGTGAATTCAATATTTTGACCTCTGACTATTTAACACTTTGTAATCGAGCTAATGCGAACTTCAAAGATTTTTTTTAATGTGAAAATGCAGTTTTGTATTATCAAAATATGCTCGCTAATTCAGACGTTTTTCTGAATACCTGTCATTGGCGCCTTCCTTCTCATTCTGCTAGTTTTATTTGATTTTATTGACAAGGTGCCCAGTAGAAAGTAACTTGAATTGAACATTTTTTTTTAGCTTGACTAATCAGAATGCACTTTAGTCATTAAGGCAGAAAGAAGGGGATTCTGCTCCAGGTCTGCTTTCAAGGTGCTCCTTACGAGATCTTGGCTTGTGGAGAAGTTCAACTTCAAGTAAGGTTGGTGCTCTTGATTGTTTAGTCTTAAATTTTTATATTGTAAAGACATTACCTAGGTGGATCAGAACTCTTTTATTACAGAAAGTGCCTAAAGTTAATTCTAGTTTATTCTTCTTCATTCTCTCCTTTCTCACATTCTGCCCTTTAAATTAAATCACAGATTTCCCTCAAGAAAATTTATATTTTACTATGCTAGGAATAAACCTCAGAATTATTTTTAACTAAGTTTTTGTCCTTTTATTGCTTGTTCATTAAATGTAAATTAGATTTATTTTCATTCATTATAGGCCTGAAAACTGTGACCTTAAAGGTGAGAGGATTAATTATAAGATTTGTAGAAATTATATCCAGGATGATCTTATTACCTAATTTGTCATAGCACAGAATGTAGTCAATTTTAGGCTCTTTTGATCTGGTTCTGGAATAATTTAGATTGCTTAAGGTAACTAAATCTTGATCCTTAAATGAAAAAAAATTAAAGTTAGGATATTATTATTATTATTATTACTACTACTACTAAATAATAATCCACACATGATAATATGTATTCTGTTTAAAAAGACATACTTATGCCTTTAATTAAATATGAACAGATAACACTAATCTAAGAGAACTATACAGAAAAATCATGAAGGAATTACATACAGAATAAAAATTAATTCATAACTAACAGAACACTTACCCAAATCATAAATGCCCTATAGTTGGGAGAAGTGAAAACAAGTAGTGTTCTAATCTGACAATTTTAAATTCCCCAACACAATTTATAGCCATTATTAAATTCTTGCGGTAGGTAGTTATTCAGTAGGTAAATTTTCCCATGCCTCCCACATAACTGTCCAATAGTTGCTATATTTATTGCACAGAGAGAATGGCAATTTGTCCTAGAGACCATTTAAGCTTTTATTTAGATTCACTGAAGGAAAGTAAGCAAATTTAAAAGTAGCAAATTTGAATTTAATTTAGGAAACCATCCCACATCTCAGATACACAGATTTTAGGGGGCCTTCTGGAAGTCGTGTGACTGCTTTTCTTTAGACAGAAGTTGCCATGTAACAGCTGCCATTCGGGTGGTACCCTGCTGGACCCTACCTTTGGAAGGTTTCAGTGGGCCTTGGAGGGGCAGGAATGATGAATAGTAACCATTTTCTTATACTCAGCTGGTAAGATTCCCAAGCTTCCGAATATATTTTGATTTTTTTTCCCTTTTCTATTCTCATATAGTTAGTATCTATGTCATAGTGTAGAGTTTGTTCATATTTAAGTTTAAACTGAGCCAAAGTGCTGCCTTTAAGGTTTTGAATCAGGATTGAATCCCAGGTTTTCTTCATATAATCAGTCAACCCCTAGTTTGGGCCTTACAAGTTGAGGGGGCTATAGACCGTAAGCCAGAAAAGCTACCAGTGTTAAACAGATTCCACCCACGTTACTCTCAAAATCATTTTGTCTTAAGATTGGGCTACCTTACTTCTTTCTTACTGCCCTGATCATCACTGGTACCCTCAACATAAAAATAATTTCTACCATGGTAAAGATGATGGTGGCATTAAAAAAGAGTATTTTAATAGTTATTCTGACACTAATACTTCAGTGGATCTGTGATGTCAAAGATGTGGGTGCATCCATCCAGGGATGCAGATTGCAGCCCATCCATGCCATCTTATCCTGTGGGATTCTTGACCATAACATCTCATAAATCCTCCCTCGGAGCTGACCCAGTGTGCTTGAGGCCTTCCTTTAGATCACAAAGGTGATCTAAAATCTTTAGGCTTTTCTCTCGAGGAGCTTTTTGGTTGAGTGCATTAGTCCATTTCAGGGGACGAAAATACTGTAATTAGAAATTTCAGGCTGAGAAATTTTAGCTTTGTTGCAGCACAATATTGGACTCATATAACAGGGCTGTAAGATTATTTTGATTCTGTTGTTCCATGGGATATATCCATGATAGTTGTTACATGCAAAGGTATATATACATACACATATATATCTGCACATAAATGTATATATGTGTGTACATATGTATGTATATCTTGCTGTCTATAATTACTGTCGTGGTTCTGGGGTTTAGTCATTGTTATGATCGAGCCAAAGTACAAAGAATAAGGCATCTGGAAAGGCCTTCTATTTTCCATCTGCTTTCATCTTTTTTTGGTTCAGCTGCTCTTTTATCAGCATATAGCATATGTATCCTCAGATTACTGGATATTCAGTGTTTATATGGTCAGCCCCAATATGTGATGTGGTCTTTTGAATGGTTTATGAATGCTGTACATAGATTTTATGTGAAATGTATGTAGCTTGAATTAAGTTTTCAGGGAGCAATTATTTATGTAAAGCTAAACAATGGAACTTCTATCTTTTATTCTGCTATCAGATATGCAGTTACTTAGGTAGAAAAGAAACTGATGCTGGGTTTGAACAACACATTATATTACATAATTTTTGGAACGGTTTATTTCCCACAAAAAAAACTGAATTTCCTAAGGACAGATGAAAATTCTGTTTATTTTCTTCTATGTCAAAAAGAAGCTGATAAAACCAACGTTGTGCCTCTTCCTTGGGTTTTTTTTTTCATCATAAATCACCAAAGCTGATTTTTCAGGTCTTTATTGCGGCACTTTGTAATGGAAAATAAGCCTTCGTGGAAATGTTTCCAAATGTACTAAAATGAATTCCAGAGTAAAGGAGATCATGGGGTCAAAATATATCTTTATTCCAGCATCATCAGCACAGCCTTCTGCTATTTTTTTTAAGCAACAAAAACTTAACCTTTTATGAAATGTGGAGCCAGTGAGATAAGTTTTGTTCATGCGTAGAATTACCTTCTAAATTTTCCTCTTATATGTTTAAACTTACTCATCTGCCAAGCTTTTAAAAACTTTTCAGTCTAACCTTATTTCCTAATTGCTGTGGCTTAAGTTATAGTCTTGTTATGTTGATAAAGCTTAATTTAAAAAAAAAACACCAAGGAACAGTTTTGTTGAATGTAAAGCACTGGTGCCATTGACTGTCCACATTGAGAAGGCTCTTCACCCTTATGCGCACACTGTGGATGCTGGTTGTAATTCAAATCAGCTTACCCTTTTGTATTAAGATTATTTCACCAACTGCTACAGTCAATAAGATCAAATCTTTGTATGAGAGAAAACAACTGAAATTTTATTTTTCTACTTACATTTCTAATGCTGGTGTCAACGTTTACCAATAAAAATTAATTACATTATTGCTGGCTGGAGCTTTATTTCTTTGGTGTGGATAGGGAATGACTATATTGTTGAATATTTTTAAGATTGCTACAAGGTGACCAGACCTGTGCAGATTTCACCCCAGACAATGACTCTCTCCTATGGTTTTTCTACTTAACTTACAAGACTTTTTCTCACCCTTGTACTATCTTGTGTTGTATTTTCTATCTCTTTAAGTGAATTTCTTGGCTTTTCAGCTGTTGTTCAAAGGTGTGACTGAATACTAAATGTGAGATGAAATGTCAACAGACACTGTTGTCATATGGCTATCATATAGGATTTGTTTGCCTCAATTCAAACCAATTATTGATCCTTTTCTGAAATTTGTTTTAGCAGTATTCTTAATTGTGAGACAAACTGCTAGGTGTGGAAGGCTTCAGTGATGCTGGATTGTCCATAATAATAATCAGTCCCATTTCTCAAAGGCTTGAAAAGTTTGCAAATTGCTTGAAATGCATTAGTACCCTCATTCCAAGTCCAGTACTCTAACTACTAGCCAAGATATAAGTGGAAATATACATTTCTGAATTTTAAAATGGATTGATTTGGAAGTAATTAATCTACATCACAGGCCACTAAAATAGATTTGTAAAAATCTTCAGAGACGGTTTATTCGTTTAGACCTTTAAGCTCTGCAGAGTGCTTTACTTAATGTTATTTCATTTGAGCCTCATAACAAGCCTATGAAGTAGGGGTTATTTCCATCTTACAAAAAAAGGAAGTGGAAAGCTCACAGAGGTTAAGCAATTAGCTTAAAACCCAACTTGTTTTCTCCAAGGTAGCCCCCAATTAGAAAATTCTTATTGCTATTATTTGCTTTGGGGCAGCGAGGTGGTGCAGTGGATAGAGCAACAGCCCTGGAATCAGGAGGACCTGAGGTCAAATCTGGCCACAGATACTTGACACTTATTTGCTGTGTGACCCTGGGCCAATCACTTAACCCTGTTTGCCTCAGTTTCCTCATCTGTAAAATGAGCTGGAGAAGGATATGGCAAACCACTCTGCCATCTGTGCCAAGAAAATCCCAAACAGGGCCATGGAGAGTCTGACATGACAAAGTACTCAACAACTACTTGTTTTCCTGCTGTCCTGCAGGACAACTATAACCCCCAACCCCATCCCTAA